AGCCTCATGCACCCAGTGAGACAAGCGGAACGTGGACGGGACAGCATCTTATTGGCTGGGAGCTACCAGCTTGGGCGGGCGTTAGCTGTCCAATGAAGTGCGAAGACTTCTCCCACCGTCGAGAGGAAGCCCCAGTTACCCCGCTCCTACGTCCATCTAGCGGGGGGTTTTTGCCCGGTAAACTGCCCCTCACCGTGTTTATTTGCTGGAGTGGCCTCCTGGGGCGGGTGTGGATAGAGGAAGGAAGCCAGGAGGTGCCCAAGCAGCTGGCCTTGTGAGACTGGTCTTCGTCTGGCCTCTACCCGTTGACCTTTCAGGCGTGATTGGATCTACGGCTGTGAGAAGCCATCCTGTGTAGCTCGCAGGGTCACTGAGGCGCGCAAGCCATCACACGTCAAGGTGCAGTCTCGTCGTGAACCAACCCAGTCTTGTAGTAACATTTTACACTTTGAAGATGCCAAACGCATACCAACCATCACTACACTAACACTCAGGCTATCTAGAAAAGCTTGTAACTTACCTGGATCTTCACTTAGTAGCACAATGTTGTCTGCAAACTCTAGATCAGACTGTCTACCTCCCGGGAGTAAATCGATGCCACTATCCTCGCACGAGGATGAAGTTTCAAGAATTAAATCTATGACAAATTTGAATAGAAACTTTCTGTAGCGCACTGAGGCGAAAAAGTGCAGTAAGCTCGGATTTGGTTTCGGCTGTTAGTACAAAGGGATCGTAATATTGAAATAAACTTCTTGGTCACACCTTTCAGAAAAAGGCATCGCCAGAGTTTAGGGCGGTCGACTAAGTCAGAAGTGGCTTTCAGATCGAGGAGGACGGAAATGGAGGGTGTACGAAAAGAATGTCTTTGCTTCAGAGTTTGATGAAGAGTGAAGATGTGGTCGATACAACCTCGACCGGATCTAAAACCAGCCTGGTTTTCACGCGTGCATTCCTCATTTGCGGCAGACAATAGACAGAGAATGATGCCAGCAAGAAGTTTAGAAGCAATATTGATTAAACTAATTCCCCTGTGGTTTTCACAAGAGGACCTGTCACCCTTGTTTTAAATCGGTATGATTATCAATTCAGTTGGAACCTGTTCCCACTGCCACACTGAGTCCAGAAGTTTCGTTAGCTCTGAAACCAAGGCTAGGTAACTAAGGTTTACACGAGAAGATGCTTTCCACTTATCCGGTTGTGGGCAGGTGTCGTAGAGAACAAATGACCCAGAATGATTTAACAATGCACAGAGAAGTAAACTGAGCAAGAAACCATTGCAGCTTGGCATAAAACTGAAGGAAGTTCAGGTATATGTTAACGACTGGTAGCAATCAGTAAAAATATCTCAACGCACCAATTGGGTGTACCATCAAAAAGGCCATTGGCTTATTACCTTCCTGGTAACGATTTACTTTGTAGGAATTAGAGTGCATCATTTAAGAAAAAAACCTAATGGTACTGGGTTGACCACTTTTACCACACCCTTTTTTCAGGCATTTCTTCAAAGCCAACTCATTCTCTCAGAAGCTTGAAGTAATAACGTTGAAATGAACGTTACGAATGAGTATTCTTGCCACTCAGTAGTCGAAATTATCAGAGATCACGATCATCCTGGGGATAACTCTACTCGCACTTATTGCATAGTTTGACTTAATTCAAAGCACCAACATAGCCTACAACTTCATACTTGGCCAAGTGACTCAGGGATCGTTGGCGTCATTGGACATTGGCCTTTCACGAAGTCAAGTGAGAAATTTCCGTTCTGTTACTGTCATCGCTGGATGTTGGCATGTGTATTTCATTTCACACAAATCTGCGTCCAGACTATATGTGAAGCTAAGTCACAAAACAATCATTATTAAAAGAAATCGTTCCGCAATATGCTTGTGGGCGGAACATTATCAGGTTCCCCAGTCAATGCAAATAAAATGTCTTGAGGAATTCATAACCAGAGCCCTCAGTTAAACAAAGACAGCGTGACGGTGTGTGATAACCATAATCCGTTTGTCACCTGTGTCCAGTACGTCGCATCATACTTCCTTTAGACGAAGTGAAGTTTCCCAGGTGTTACATCTCGCGGACCATTCGAGCCGGTGATCGCTGCCACACCTAAGACGGTATAGGTGTTTTTGGTTCGTACACCCCCTGGTAGGTTTGGATTCGTGGCTTGTAGCCACCCACCCCCTCTAGGTGAACTACCATTAGCCATTTGAGACGCTGGGTCGTATGGGAGCATTTCTATGGATGCAACCAAAACCACCGCACAAAGGTACATGGTTAATGGTTGTAAAAACTGAACTGAACTCGAAGTGCAATGAAGGTGACCTACCACAATCCGAGACACTCACCCTAGCCGTACTAAGACGTTCGAGGTCCTGGATTTTGACTCCTTAGATTGTCACACCCAAGTATAACTTACTCAGAATAATTTGCAATATAGCACCAATAATTCGGGACACATTCAGTAATGCAGAGCTCCGTTTATTTTTTTTACTGCTTCGGTTTCCGGTTCTGATTGGTTTTAAAAACGTGATATGAAAATGTCTTGTTTTCGGTTACTGTCCTTCGGATCTTTTTTCAAAACCCGTTAATTTTCGAAGCCTTTAAGATATCCTTGGGATTAGGGGAAATTGAATTGCGGGCTAAAATGAGCGAAAGCTGCAATTTCTAAGCAAACAGTAGAAGAGATCAGTTTTTGCATTATGCATTTGACTACTAACAAGGAGAACTAGGTGCCATAGCGACTTGATAAGTGATTACGTTTAAGTAACTCCAAGCGTGCCTTAACGTGGTTGACCAAATTTTACACTAAGTTCTGGCCATGTTTCGAAATGTGCCTGCCTGAGAGCTGCACGGATAGCAACTTTGGTGGTAGGCAGCCTTGCTGTCGTCCGGTTCAACACCACGTCTAACCTATCAGGGCCTTATGTGCTTCACCACTCCAAGTCCCGGGGCTTAGGTTACCGGTTTCCATCACTGAACAGTCTTCGTGACTATAGGGCTTTCCCCGTCTGCTGTTTATCACACAGATGTGTAATACAGAAAAAACTATAGTCAAAGTTCCACTGTGCCACATCAATTAACTGAACGATTGATTTGTCGAAGTATAAACCGCATCACTTAATGCATCAGCTATTTGTTATACTCTGAATACGAGATGANGGTAGTTCCTCGAGAGAGAGAAGACTGAGAGCCCGGAGATGTAAGGCTTTATTCGTCTAACTACTCTGGTATATAGGCTAAAACGTATGAAAGATAAATGTTATGGATGCAGCGATATGCAGTAGACAGAGTGTTATATATGACATTCTCCCCCGGTAGAGAAAATGTTGTCAGGCCTCCCTGCTTCTTAAGTTATACGGGGGAGTTTGTTGCTGTAATTCTGAAAGCGAAGGTTGTTGGCTATTCGTTAGCTGGGGAAAGTTTGCAATATAAGGTGAAATAAAATCATCTGTAGATTGGTTGTGTGAACTATCAATAGAGGCGTCATGTGATATAGGTTCGATGAATGGAGTTTCGGGGACTGTTGGTGAACACAATGATGCTAGAGGGGCTAAATGATGAATGGACACCATTTCTTCTCTACCGTTTGGAAGTCTGACGTGGGCGTATTTTGGATTATATTCAATCAGCTCTACCTCGTGAACCAGTGGCTCGTACTTTGATACCCGAGGGAGGCGCTTCATTAAAACCGGTCCAAGAACAGTCAGCCAACTTGGCAGTGATTCGCCGAATGTTGACTTGCGATTATACTTGAACCGACACTTATGAGGGGACTGGTTTGTAGCGGTACACAAGAGGGAACGAAGAAAACGTAAAACATCAGGGAGAAGAACTTCCCAATCACTATAAGATAAAGATCTTGATTTGGCGGTTAGGGTGATTGCACGCCAAAGTGTACCGTTCAATCTTTCCTGTATGTGGTGGTTCGGCTAGTTACGATTCCTTTAGCATGAAGGAAACGTTTTAGTTCATCTGAGGTGAATGAGGAATCATGGTCGATGTGAATGTAAGAAGGTGTACCAAATACGGAAAATAATTGACAGAAGTGAGTAATGACAGTAGTAGTTGTCATATCGATACACGGAAATGCAAACGGAAATCGCGGATGTTCATCAATTATTGTAAGTAAATATTTGTTACGTGTTTGTGATGGTATTGGCCCCTTGAAATCCATATTTAACCTCTCAAATGGGGCGGTGGCCTTGATAAGGTTCCCGGTGGTCAAAATTTCGGTTTTAATTCAGAACATACTGGACATTGGGCGATGATGTTTTCTACGTCTTGTACGGAATAAGGTAGATTTCGGGATCTCACAAAATGCAGAAGACGCACGCTGCCATGTTGGCGTGGAGAATTGTGAAGCTTCTTTAAGGACACGGTAGTCAATGTAGACGATATGATACGTCGAAGCGGTAGCTAGACAGTTCGATTCTCCAGCGCTGTATTTTCTCGTTTTTCACTTTCCCTCACTGCTGCTTATCATACATGAATGCGACTGACCTCTGATCAGTGATTATAAGAAAATGTGAACCAATTAAGTAATGCCGCCATTTTCGGACTGCCTTGAAAATAGCACAGGCTTCTTTCTCGACGGAAGAGTGACACTGTTCGGAAGGTGTTAGTGTTCGTGAGAAAAACGCAACTGGTCTCCCGTTCTGTGGTAGTATAGCGGCTATTGCTATCTCTGAAGCATCGGTTTACAGCACTAGAGGAGTGTGAGGATCGACGGTTGTCACCACAGCTCGGGCAAGTTAATCTTTCGGAACATCATACGCAGCTATGACGCTTTTTGGTAGCAAGAACGTGTTGTTGACCAGAGGGTTAATCTTGTCCGAGAAATGAGATATCCACTGAGAACAATACGCGAATAACCCAATAACTCGTTGCATAGATTTTTGATCTCGAGGAGGCGGCAGCTCTAGCGGGGGTCGTAAACGGTCCGGGTCGGGTTTGATGGATCTATGAGAGACTTCGTACCCCAGTATCTTGATTTTGTCTGTGTTGATTCTTTTAGCGTCATTAAAGGTGAATGAGTTACGAGCAACCCCGTAGGAACGATCCAAGTTTCTCTGATGCTCTTGTTCAGAGGAACCACATAATGTGATATTGTCTAATTAGGCAAAAGTCGCTTCCAGTTTCTCGTTCGTAATGATTTGATCGATAACTCTTTGGAAAGAAGAAACACCATTGGTGATGCCGAAGGGAATCCGACAGAACTGAGACAAATCACCACCCACTTCGAATGCCATATACGCTTTGTCTACGTCCCTTAAGGGTATCTGGTGGTAGGCGCTCTTCGAGTCCAGTTTACCGAAGGTCGTATACCGTGAGATTTTCCCTACTATTTCGTCCATCTTGGGTCGGAGGTAGGCATCCAGGAGAGTGAAGCGGTTAACAGTCTCACTGCGTTTTTGACGTTCGTTGGTGGTAACAAGCACTTGGGCACGCCAAGGAGATTGCGAAGGTTCTATGATGCTATCTCAACAATTTTTGCACTTCCGTTTTGATGAACAGCTCGTCCGAGGGTGAGTGCCTCCGAGACTTGGTTGCAACTGGAGCACAATCAGGTGTAAGATTGTTAAATACCGGAGGTGGCCCGATATTCGCCACCGCTACGCTGTAGACCGAAAATGAATCTTTGGCTTCATTGAACGGAATTTCTTTTTTGAGTGTAGTCGGAAGAAATCGTGTCCAAGGACGACATCTGAACAGAGGTGATCTAACATTCAAAGCTTAATATTTGAATAACGACGATTCTTATACAATAAATTAACAATGTCCGTGAGTGGAACTGGTTAAGTTCATCGAAGCACTACGAGATTTTTCGACCTTCCACTTATGTTTGCGTACCACAGAGTTCGATATGTAACTAGCAGAACTGCCAGTGTCAATGAGAGCCTGGAGAGATATTCCGTTTACAGAGAACCGGATAACTGCATTGGACAGACATAATGGAGCTTCAGCGAGAGTGATGGCGGATATCAGAGAGCTGGTAACAGACGATGAATTTGAGTTTGGCTTGGATCGACAAACCTTCTGGTAATGTCCTTTCTTCCGCAAGACTTACAGGTTGCATCTTTTGTCGGACGTTTGAAACGAGGATGTTTGGAATATCCGTACAAGAAACAGCGAATGTTGCTCATAACGACTATATTTTCCTCCAGTGAATTGGGTTTGCGGGGCACCAAGTTCGATGTAGACTCGTTCTGTCGCTTGGGGTCAACGACTGCAACTGTGTAACCGGAATCGACTGGGTGAAAAACGCTGGACTGTTGATATGCCATCTCCAAGGTTCTAGCCTGTTCGTATGCTGTTTCTAAGTCCAGTGTTCGGTTTCGCAATAGGCGTTGGCGGATGCTACTGGACTGCATTCCACTGATAAAAGTATCTCGTATGGCATTGTTTTGGCTTTGTTCGACGGTGACGGCTACGAAGTTGCAGTCTTTTGCCTATGATTTCAGCTTCTGCATAAACTGATCAAGAGTCTGACCTGCCTCCTGTTTACTGGTAAGTGTCCAGCAAAAACCTCGTTCTTCGGTTTCACGTAAAGCTCCTCTAAGGTCGTCATAGCGCATTGGGACGTTTCACCCTCGGCAGTATACTCGTAAACGGTGGGAGAAACGCATCCAATGAGGTACTCCAGCTTTTCGTCTTCTGATTTCGCCGCCCTGGCTATAAATAAGGTGAATCTGCGAAGCCAATGATTCCACACTTTCGCGGCCGAGGGACAACTTGGATCCGCGTTGAAGCGTTCTGGTCCATAAGGCCGATCCATTGTTTAGACAAATGAATTGTTATGTTCCGAATACGAGATGACAATAGTCGGTAGTTCCTCGAGAGAGAGAAGACTGAGAGCCCGGAGATGTAAGGCTTTATTCGTCTAACTACTCTGGTTTATAGGCTAAAACGTATGAAAGATAAATGTTATGGATACAGCGATATGCAATAGACAAAGAGTGTTATACACAACATTTTTTTCGATACTTACACTTGTAGATCAAATTTACTGTGCAGTGGCATTAAATACCTAATCACGACTTCTGTTTCAATTTCCTTTCACTTTCCGCTCCGTGAGCGTGTTTTCAATGATAACTAGTACTATTTAAAACGAAAGCACTCTTTCGTTATTTTTTTAGTATCTACGATCGCGACGCGAATGGAATAACGTCTTACTTTGGCCGGTTTTTCAATATTGAGGAGTCAGATCTTCCCAAATCTTTGTCGGACATCGAGTAAGTCGTTATTCTAGGGTTTTGCGTGCAGGCATTACTACATTGACGAGATAGTATTTTACCGTTAAGTCTCTGGTTCATGACGGTCAATTCATTGCTCGATACTTACTTGATTTGTAATCTTGGTTTTAACGCAGGCGAGTTGCGTTCGTGGATGTGGAGGTCAAAGCCCCTGGATATCCATCAAAACAAAGTTCTCGTCAAAAGAGTCGACTCACGGCGAGAGAAATTCTTTTGGGTGCTACATCGTACCGACCATCTTCGTCCGACGACGACGACGACGAGGAGGAGGATGAGAACGAAAACAGTGAACACTCGGAGGCTGTGCAAGAATCAACTGATGTTGAGAGCGAAGAATCCGATGAAGAGGATTCTTCTGCCTCTGAAGTATCGATGGGGGCCGTTGAACGTTCTGAGGTTTGTGACCCAAACACCAATAAGAATGAATCTGAAGACAATGTGAAGAAACTGACCAAAAAAGTGAAGAAGGTCAAGGTTTCTGATGAAAAAGTGAGTATTCATTTTGAAGCATATATTTCTCCGGCTTGATATCTTAGACAAAATCATCTCTATCACCTCTTTTCATTCTATTCGACATTCATCCTTGTGTTTTTTCTGATCTCCATGCTTTTCAGTCAACCATTGGCATAATTACGGCAGCTGAAATCCGTGCCAAACATCGTCGTGAGCGGCGACAACAGGAACAAATCAACTTCCAACAACAGGTCAGACGCAGTGCTCGGGCAAAACTGAAGCGTCAGGGTCGCTCTAGTCTAAAAGCGGAGTTGACTTTGTTCGGTTAAATATTCGTATCATTCGTCTTGTTCCCTCTGACCCCCTCAGCTGTACACATGATTTCTTCTCTTGTAAAGACAATAGATTTTGCTTGATTTCGTAATGTAACTGTTTTCAACTGGAGTTGTGTTGGTTTTCACCGGAGTTTTCTAAAAATGAGGAAGTGACGATAACTGCAGTCCATCGTAATGCAACCGAAAAATGTATGTAAAATGAACCATGGTCAACTTGTTCTTCGAAGTCTAGTAAAGGTTTGCAATCCTCTTCGCTAAGATATTATTAACAGAACAACAAACTTCGGTTTGCAGTATGAGTACGCGTAAGTTGTGTATGAATAACTGGACAAAGAAGTACTGGGTACACCTGACTAATGAGCATCGACAACAGTGATGTGCTTTCGGGGTAATTTCGGCCACTTATTCATATGATATATGTATTCGAGGTCATTGTTCTAGTCAGGGGTGATAAGAACCACAAGAAGTGGCGTTCCCCATAAGCTTAAAATGGGAGGATGAATAGGTCATAGCTTGCAGTTGCAAACTGTCTTATTTGTCGTAATGTTTCTCTGANGTTGTTGGAAGCCCTTGCTAGCCAGATTGTTTCCAGTCCTGGATACACATCATTTACCCACTGTTCTGCGTCGTCTTGTTTACGAACGGCGTGGCAGCGTGTGAGTGCCCGGAAGGGTGAACTGGACATGGAATCTGATTTGCTTGTTATCCACTTACGAGAAAGGAGACAGATCCTCTTGTGAAAACCACAGGGGAATTAGTTTGATCAATGTTGTCTCAAATTTTTGCCGGCCTCATACTCCATCGAGGAAGAGTGTTCGCGTGAGAATCAGACTGGTGTTAGACCCGGCCAAGGTTGTATGGAGTACATTTTCACCCTCAAACTAATACGGGAACACAGACACTCCTTTCATAGACCCACCATCTGTATCTTCCTCGATCTTAAAACTGCTTTCGACTTAGTCTAACGTTCTATATACTCTGGTACTGCCTCTCTCTCGCTAAAGGTCGTACCTGAGAATTTTGCTATCCCTTTGTACTAACAGCCGAATCCGAGCTTACGACACTTTCGCCCCAGTTCATTACAGAAAGTTCTGTTCAACAGGGTTGCCCTCTCGGTCCCTTTCTGTTTAACTTGCAGATTTGATTATGGAAACAGCCCTATCCTCCTGCGAGGATAGGGGTATCGATTAGCACCAAGTTAGTAGACTGTTTGATCTGGAGTATGCAGACGACATTGTACTGCTAAGCGAAGATCTAGGTAAGTTGCAAGTTCTGAGTAGTTTGACTGCTTTCGTAACTATGTTCGGTGTGCGTTTTGCACCTTCAAAGTGAAATAGAATTGGTTTGGTCTAGCACCCAGCCTCACTCTCACTGGAGAAGCAATAGAGCAGGTAGACAAATTCTTCTGGACAACTGCATCTTTGGGCAGCAACATCTCACCCGGCGGACGCATCACGGATGAAGTGTCAGCTCACATACAGGAGGCCCGGTTGGAATTTTCCAACTTGAGACACCTGAGGCGTCATCGCGACATCGGGGTCTCTATGAAGGGTCGAGTGTATGCTGCAGCTGTTCGGCCATTTCTGCTAGATGGAGCAGAGACTTGGCCATTGAGAACACTGCTCTCTACACAGCATTGCACGAATCTGCTGGGGAAACCGGACAAGCAATTCGGAGGCTAAGCGCGGAATTTTAGGCTATCATGGTCACCCATTTGAACAGTGAGTCGACTTCCATAGGTTATGTTGGTTGGGGTATGTCACCAGACTGCGACGGCACGTGAAATTTACCGTAGGAGTTATTGAATGCAGAAAATTTAAGGGTGGTCTTGGTCTGAGGAGACTTGCTCATACAGGTCGCATTAGGTTTCCTGGATGGGGACCTCGGGATTACCGTAGCCAATGGTTAGAGACACTGAGTGTCGTAGACGGTGGCGTTCGTGCATCTACTTACTATCCTTGCGCCTCCGAAATCGGGGGTGGGTGTCTAGGGTTGCGGTTGGTCACCCTTCCCTTGCACCCCGCGAAATGTCGTCGTACGACCAATCGTCTCAAATAGCCTCTGCCGAGGAAGCCCTACTCGCTGCATTCTCATGGCGTAGGTGTTTTTACACCAAAGTGAGAGGATGCAAAGCCGACATCCGGGGGCTATAACCGGGTTGGTGGGCCACTGGCAGTTCACCTCTGGGAGTTCGCCAAAAACCATGATTCCGAAGCAACCAAGAGGAGCTGTACAAATCACACCAACGCCTTTCCGATTGTGGCAGTGATCACTGGCTCTATTGGGATCAAGGTGTATTGGGCACCTTGACGTTTGACCCCGTTCGAATGGCGTATGATCCGATGAACTGGACAACGGCCACTAATAGAATGCGGTTTTCACACACCACCCGGCTACCTTGCGGATCAGGCTTTGGCTAGCTGAAGGTTCAGGTTGTGAATTCAATAAAATTCACCTACCTTGGCTTGGGCAGAGTGGCAGTATTCGGCTCATATGCAACTCATGGAACGTTCTTTCATGAAGATTATTGTACCATGATTTGTTTGGCACACGGCCTGACCTCAGACGGGTGATATATATATATTATTCGCAATGGGAGAACTCATTGACAGTGTCATCGTTCACCTACTGCTACCATCATGGTCAATGTAAACCTAGAATAACTTATCGCCAAGTGCCCCTGATCCGCTCATAGTTTCTACCCAATCAAGGCTAGTTTAATGTGACGGCACAGTCGGGATTGAGTTTTCGTTGACAACAACCGGCCATATCAACTCGGCATTAAAAATTCACTCACTTTTGGGGAATGAGTGTGAGTCTAATTCTTGCAATTTTAATGGAGGATCAGACAGGATGAAGCGTTCTGTGTACACAGTAGTTTCCCAATGGTACCTCGTTGGAGAACTCAAGATTGAAGAGCCGATTTTTTGAAGGTAGTTCCATATCTGCGCTATCTGTCCTGCTGTGTGTTATTCGTGGTATTGAGAGATTGGCATCATAACGATCGATGAGAAGTGCTACGGGTTATCTTAGGGAGGCTTTGCCAACAAATGTGCTATTCGGACCGGGTCCGTGTAGCTCGTAGTAGTTTCATTCTGGTCTCCAACATGCTGACTTCACGTGACATGTGCTTTATACAGACCGAGATGATTTATCAAATACTTCGCATGCGATACTAGGGTTTACCTCGTGCATCTGTCATTTCCTTGATAGACATGAGAGCCGGGGGTCGGGTTTAGCTTTCTACAATTCAGCTTGGTCCTGACTACTGCGGTTAATCCCTTATATCAAGGAAATCATAGTAACAACACTGACAATCGATTCCACTTTTTCATTGAGATTCAAGCTGCTCCTTCAAACTAGTATTCTATTGGCCTCTGAAGTTGTTCGTTTATTCCTACATCTGTTTTGTCCTGGAGCTCATTGGAACTAGTTGACTAATTTGCGATGGGAGTTTCTGTAGGAATGAGCCCATCACGCTACTTATGGTTACAGCCCTCCACAAAGATTCTGTGTTTCTCGCGTTAGTTTACAGATTTACATGATTCTGCTGAGTCGAGGAGGTCTGTCACTGGGCTCGGGCAGGGGCGAGCTTGATACTGCTGGTTGCTAGTGAGGCTCGGTTTATCGGTGCAACACTGTTCATCAGATCCACTTATCGATCTACTGCTGATACAGACTAAAAGATTTTCGGGTGAAAATACATCGATCATACACTAGTGTGACCCTCCATAATAAGGAGCAAACTGTCATTTCTCGACTTTTTACCTCTTCCGTATACTCCTTCATTGATCACTCCGAAGAACACCAGCTAAAGCTAGAATGTACACTTTAGGGTGCGACGCTTAAGCCAGTTGTTGGCTTTCCTTCCTGAGTGCTTCCCGCTTCTACTTGCTCACCGGCTTATGGACCAGTTACATGTGTGCCCTCTACAATGAACGTACTCCATGATTGACTGCGTGCTTATTTACCTACTTAAACGGGACAGCTCATGGTTTGCAAAGTGTTGCGTAGCCAAGGCTCTCAGAATTACCTATCACTGATTGGATGTGATGGAACCCTTCAATGACATGGGTAAGGTAAACTATGTAATGACAATGACCACTTCAATTGCATGCCTTAGGGTGATGAGCAGTGGAGATGGTCATGAACCGGAAACCTGGGACTTTGCTTAGTGAACTGCAATAGAACAGGTGGGTTATTGATCCAAACGACAGCGAAGGTAGTTTACTGTACGTTACTCACTGCTGGTCCCGGAGATAAAAAAGACTTCCGTATTCCCTAATTGTGGATTTTCTTGTGTTACACCTATGAAACACAGCGTCTTGGTCCGTCATTGTGGGATTGCTGACCGATTTTAGCTATTGAAAAGTTTGGTAGTAGTCTGTAGCATTATTCTTCAGTTGTCTGATATGACCAGATCCCACCAACGTCGGTTACCACACTTCCTTGTTGGACGTTTGCAGTGCGTAGGAAGTTTTCGACTTCAGCCTAAGGATAATTTCCGATCGATGCTCGACATCATAGATGGGCGTTTGTTTGCAATGTAAATTAATCGTATCTTAATTACATGAAACTGCGATAAGAGGTGCGAAATCAAACATCCCCTGATTCTCATCTCTGTACTCAACCGCAACCTTCGAATGACAATCCGACGAACTGCACCTGTTGAACTGACAAAAATTGGGTTCTTCAAGTCACGGTGAGATAATGCGATCATTTGAGCACAGTCGGATGTAGTAAACAGATGATTCCAATAGAAAAGAAACTGATCAATAAGTATATCCTATGGTATAGAAATATTTTACAATAAATAGTATATAAATGACTAGACAAAATTCCCCTCCAAGCGCACAACCGGTTTTGCGCTTCTTGCTGCTCATCAGGCATGCTTATCCTCTCCACACACGAGAATTATCAGTTACGTCGTTCTCTTCAACATTTTGTTTCAGATTTTCTATTTGTGTTGGTCAGAATACAAAGTTATTTCACAT